TGTACCCTTAAATTGGACACATACATTGCAGCAGCACTGGTCGGGACACTGAGTGTGGACCACAGGTTACGAGTGTTCCTTTTCGTACAGGCAGAGCTGCCGCCCGCTACTGAGATTATGAAGGAAAGGAAAATTGATTCATTACCACCGGTTTTAAGGTAACAAATAACCAACTAGACGAAGTACACGGTAAGCGTGATTAAATTTACTTGTAACACCGTAAACAACCGGCAGTGAAATGCCACTTGTAATACAGTAAACAACCGGCAGTGAAATGCCACTTGTAACACCATAAACAGCCAGCAGTGACCTGCTATCATCAAACATAAATACAAGCAGCGAGCTGCACCACCAAATACAGGCGGTGAGCAGTGGTTCATCGAACAAACTTTGATACCTAACCGGAGCTGCAAATGAATATCAATAAAAGAACAAGAGGTTGTGGAAATGGATCAAGAGCAACGAAGGGGAAAGGTGAACAAGGACAAAGGTGACCGAGACCCAGAGGTAGAAGTTGTCCCTCCAGAGCTGAACAACTGCGACTTTACGGCAACAGAAGCTGGAGGGGGCCACCCTCTGCCTGAGCCTGAATGCTCAGCACCTGACCAGAGTCCCGGGTTCAACATGATGGCAGAAGTGCGACGAACTGCGACTGAAATGCTGGAGGCGTATTTCACAAAGGGGGAAGAAAGGGAAGCAGCACGACGTTTAGAGTTTGGGAATGGCAAATTTGAACAGTCAGAAGGTTCTCAGAACGATTCTGGGGACACAAGTCCTGGATGAATACCGACTGCAGATGCTATTTGTGAAGTGGAAACAATAATAAATAGTCGAACCATCACACCTGCGTCGAGCGACATGAGAGACCTGGAAGCGTTTACACCAGCACACATTCTCCACGGTGGCCCACATGCTGATCTGCCATTAGGAGGATGTCTTCTGCAAGACTTACATCAACGACGGTGGCGGCACGTGCAGTTCCTAGCAGACCGCTTCTGGAAACGCTGGGTGAGGAAGTACCTTCCACTACTCCGCAAAAGACAGAGGAACATAGTACCAACCTGTAATCTCCAGAAAGGCGACCTTGTCTTCGTCACCGGAGAAGATCTTCCTCGCAACAAACGGCCATTGGGCAGGGTCACGACAACAATCCCGGGAGCCAATGGTCTCGTGCGCCAGGTGCTTGTGCGAACCGTATCTAGGGAGTTCCGAAGACCAGTGACCCGTGGATACCTTATTGAACACGCCACACCGTAAATCTTGGGCGATTGCCCAACGCCGGGAGTGTTATCGCCGCTGGCTTCAGCTACAGTGCTGGCGTGTGATGCCAATAAATCTTTCGACCTGTGACCTCGTCAGATGTAGAAGTGTTTACAGACAAGTCCTGGTTCTGCTGAGTGGACTGCCTTAGACTGGTGGCGGTGGCTGCCCGCCCCTCCATGAGACAGATCGCCCTCTCTAGTGATGCTGTGAAGACCAGCCTTCTGTCCGAGAATTTGTGCTGGGACGATTTACGCAATACTGTTTTCTCTTGGAACACCATACTGATCTGCAGTGACCCGCACTTGTAAGTACAGCCTAAGTGATGACATACCCCTCGGTACTGAAATATTGTTGAATAATTACGTCTACTCGTTTCTGCCTAACCTGGAGTAATAAGACAATGCAGAATGAAGCGAAGCTAAGATTAATAGAGTTATGAACTTTGTGTTATGTTAGTACGTTTAATAAATTGTAATTAAGAAAAAATTGTGAGACTAACTAATTATGTATCAGATGGATCACCTTGTAATATCATGAACGCCTTCTCCTCTGCAGGTTTTGAGCCACATCAATAAATATTGAATGCGTCAAAAGACGGGTTTCAATCATTCCCTTCGGCTTGCCCGTAACCTGAACGTCCTTAACTAAGGCGTTTACACATGTGGTGTTGGTCTTTCTTAATAATAATAATAATATTAATAATTAACGGTTTATTGAAAGAGCATGGCAGCCGGAAGGCTGAAAATATACAGTTACAGAATTGGGGAATAATAATAATATATATTATTATTATTATTATTATTACAACAATTAATAAATTTAATCGCAAATTAATACAAATAAAATAATAAAACTAATAAAAAATAATAACCATAAAAAATACAAAATTGAAAAAATAAATCAAGAGTGAGAAATTATATATATTATATTATATGTTGTGTTGTCAAAGTAAAAGAAACAATTGAGACCCTGCAATTGTGTGTAAATGAGGCAGAAAGTCAGATCAGCAACCTGGGACTTGGTCACAATTTTCGTGATGCCATATGGCAGCAGGGTCTACCATTAGACAACACATTATGCTTCCAATATTTTCCCAGGAGGTAGTACCTCCCTGTTTGGGAGCTTCCTATCTACCTACTACCTGTAAAAGAAGAGGATACAATTATGATATATAATAACTAGGTGGGGAGAAGCTCAAACTACAGGGCATTTCAACATATTGACAGTGCAAAAAATAAGATTTACTGGGAGTGAATACACTGGTTGATTGCAAGTTATTGATAATTTTTACAATGATTGGGACTGGGCTGTTCTTATTGCGATATGGCTGGATGCGGTTGTGGTGTCAAACAGCAATTCTCGAGCGAGGGATCTCAGGTGTTGGTTGTTTCTTGGAGGGTCCCTTCAAGTCCTTGTGTGAACTGGCAGGATAGTTCCCATCTTTTCGGTTATATGAGTGATGTTATTCTCTCGCGTATAATGGTTCCGGGCTGATTGTGTTAATGGTGATGCTTCTTGGCCACCAGCTGTGTGATATATTGTTGTTTGCCTGTAATAGCTCCTGTAAAATAGGGTCTTGTGTTGGGTGTAGTTTGTCCCATATCGCTTTTGCTTGTTTGTGTGTTTGTATGTTAATTGTGTCTATGTTATGTTCGATGTGTATGTCTCGTATTTTTTGACTGTATGGCGGCCCTTTGTTTTGCTGCTCTTCTTAGTGCTGTATTTTGGACTGCTTGTAGCTTGAGTTTGTTTGTTTTAGTTATTGTGTTTAGTGGAATTGGTGATTATTCAAGGTGTGGTCTGACGAGTGATTCGTATAGATGAAGCTGTGTTTTGGTGTTTAGTTTTCTAAAGCGACGGAGTTTGGTTAGTTGTAGTTTGGCTTTCGTCAATCTCTCTCTCATGTGTTGGTGTATACCGTTTCTGGTGATTTTGAGTCCCAGTGTTTTCCCACTTTCTCCATATGGTAACTGTTGATTGTTGATAATGATCGGGTATGGATTTGTTTTAGCAATGTATATAATCTTTAGTTTTGGGATGTTGGTTTCGATTTTCCATTTACTAGTTGTTAATTGCTTCAATTTCTATTCCTGTTCTTATGGCCATTATTTGTTTAGATCTCCCCGGATATTGTATTATTTGTGTGATATCGTCTGTGTATGCTATGTAGTCCGACTAAGTCTTGGGTCAGGTATGTCTGCTGTGTATATTGTGTACAGTGTAGGTGAAATGTTGCTGCCCTGTGGGACTCCACTGTGTAGGTTGAAGGTTTGTCCGGTGTAGTTGTCTATAATGAGTTTGGCTTGTCTGTTTTTAGGCATGTCAAGTTGAATTATTTTATATTTGAGGCCTTCGTGCCACACTTTTTCGAAAGCTTTTGATACATCTCTGAGAACGACATTGCACTGGTTTTTATTGCTGAGGGCGTTAGCCATTGTTTCGTAAATTAATGCAATAGCCGTGCTTGTGCCTCGGTTCTTCCGGAATCCATGTTGTCTGGGGGTTATATTTGTTTTGCTGTTCTAGATAATTTCTGGGTCTGTTGTTGACCTTCACGGCGAGGCTGGGGGGTATTTATACGATTCTGCCGGATCAGGATCAGAGGTGTGAGGTGAGCGGCGCCTCTGATTGTCTGGGCGAAGACGGGAGAGGAGCTGTAGGGAAGGCAGGTCACTACAATACCTTTGTAAAAATTAATTAATTACAGAACTTGAACTATGAAAACCGCCTGAGAAGCTAAAGATTTCATCGAAGGTACACTGCTGGGTAAGTAAGGTTATGAAAAACACGTTGTGAGCATTAAACAATAAAATGTTTCCTACTGAGAATGCCTGCATCAACAGTACCATTAAAGTATTAAACTGTTACAGACAAGAAGATAAATATCAAAGCTGAGACAGAACAACTTCGGGTAACGTACTGTAGCAGTGTGGTATTGCTTATCGCAGCAGGCAGTATCTTTAAAGTTTAAAAACACTGCGACAAATCAAAGACCACTGGACACGCAAGGGCAGATAAAGATGTCATGTGCGATGTCAAAGCTCTTAATGATGTAGCAAAGTTGAGGAAACAGATATAGCAGTTGTTGCTGGCTGAATAATTTGGCTGCAACAGCCAGTGCTCACTCGCTTCACTATCGAGTAGCGTTCTACAAACGTATGCATTCGGGTCTCGGCACACAGGTCTTCTTTGTTTCAGAATGCACTTCAGGAACCAAAGAATGTTGTACAAAACTGCAATCCATATATTATCTGTAAAGGTAACAACAAGGAATATTTTTCTACATTTTTAATTTGCTGATGTTTGTAGAACAGATTCATATTTAGTTAGACATACAATTGCTTTTCTCCTCCAGTGTTGTCCAGAAAATCTCCCACAATGAAAATTAATTTCTCAGTTCCTTGACCATACAACGTTATAGATTTATATAATCTATGACAGTTTCATAAATTCTATATATATTTTTTTATCATATTCGCCACTTATCAGCTTACTAGCCGTTTGGGCGGTTTATCCAGTGTTAGTACAGGAGGAAACCTGTGGTGAGGGTCACAACATACTTCTCACGTGTGTCTGGGCCGAGGCTCGAACCCTTGACATATTGGTGAGAGTTTAGCGTGTTACCGCTGTACGAATTCGGTGGAAGATCAGGATAGATAAATTTATCGATAGATTATAGGGTTTACTGACTAGTAACCCAGTCTCTTTGTCCCATTCCTGTCTGGGCTTATCTTTCTTCAATGCAGAAGCCGCGACAAAACTTCCAAAGAGTATCGCTGGTTAGGATCGGGGTTGGTGGCGTGACTCATCCATCGTTGTACGTCACGGGTAAGATGGTGTACGTTGCCCTTAACAAGAAACTGCAAAAGGCGACCCACGCTGTATACATCGGCCTGGGAGGTCAGTGGACGGTTCTTGACCACCTCAGGGGCCATGTAGGAAGGTGCCACTGTTCCCGGAGTGAAGGAGATGAATCCTCCGATCTTTGTAGCCAGACCGAAGTCAATGAGAGTGGTACGAATCCCTATGGCGGTGCTTTGGATGCAGATGTTGTCAGATTTGACATCAGTGTGCACCCATCCTCGCTCCTTCACCGCTAGCAGTATGTGGCTGACCTGTCGTACGATCTGGAGGCGCTGGGATAAGGTGCATTTGTGGGTTTCCAAGTACCTGGCCAAGGTCTCCCCGGCATACTCGGTAATGAGGGCGAGCCTCCAAGGACAAATTCCGATTACCTTCTGAAGATCGGGGACCCCCTGCAGGGCTGACAGGGCTTGGATTTCCGTCACTAGACTTTGAACACAACTGGTTTTATCTATGACGCTCTTGATGACCCACTGGCTGTTGGAGACTACAACCAAGTAGCAAGTGCCGTAAGTCCCGTCACCCAGAAGCCTTAAACAGGTAGGGTCGGCAATTAGCTCAAAGGTGCTAGAGCCAAACACACTGACGCCGTAGTCTTCACAAGCATCCCGCAGAGCTCGCACCGATTTCTCTGAAATCCTTAGGGTACACATTTTCCTGTTTGTCTTAGTTCTGTTGCTATTGGTGAAGGTAAATTATACCTATATCTGTCAGTGCACCGGTGAGTGTAAATGGGAGTGCCCGGAAATCGAACCACCTGACGTTTAGGAAGCGAGCTTTGATAATCTCCACAGTCTCTTTAGATGATCTAATAAATACTTACACCTGTTTGTCTGTATATAGTAAATATATTCAGTTGTGTGTCTGTGTGTATACTACTGTACTATGATGTATTTCTTTGTGCATGGCAGTGAGACGTGATACCTCCCTCAGTGTCAAAATGTGACTGAATTACTCAGGATAGGCAAACTGTACTACAAGCTTTGTCACTAATTTTTTTTAAACTAAAAAGAAAAAAAAAATGTTGTATACCTGAAATTAAAAAAAAATATGTCCCGTTTCCAAATCGGCATAGAAGGCTGGAAAACTTGTCGGACAGCCCGCTCCCCGCCAACAGAATATCATAAGTAAAGGTGATACTCCCTCCCTCACCAGCAGAGAACGGGGGTGTTTACTCTGAAACTTTGCCCGACAGCACCATCAAGCTTATTTACTTATACGTCACCAGTGAAGCCATAACCCAAGTTTTTTGCAAATTGTGTTGGAGAAGAGAAAATAGACGATTTTTAAGATAATTTAAGCTTTTAATGAGACAATGATAACCAGTCTCGGCCATAATAATGTGCACCCGAGTCCTCTAATAGTTTGGTTTGTCGGCCTTTAGCAACTTGTACTAGAGATGTCACGTTCTCAAGCTATGTATCTGTATTATATCACTGGCGAGCTTGTGAGACATCCAAAACTCATTAGCAAATGAAAACCAACTGTAGTTTTTGGCGTTTGTTAAGTGATGTGAAACAGATGCTAATTGTTATTCGGATGGAAGAAGAGAGAGGAGGGCAACGAGGTGGTGGGGGAGGGGAGATCGTGTGAGTTGGTAGATGGTAGAGTGGAGTGGGGCGGGGCCAAACCACAGGCAGCCCGCCCTTCTCCACTCCACCCCCCACTGCTCAACACATCACGTACGTCACCGACGACGGCCGGGCGCGAACTGCCCAACTCCTGACAGCGCGCCATAATTATGGGTGCTGTGCCCAACACCAGCGTGGCACCTCTCTTACACTACAATGGCTACCCACACCGATGCTAATTTCATGGTTTAAGGCTTTCTGCACTTAGGTGTATGTCATGTGGTATATCGGCCAGGAGCTGATAATGAATGATCTTTTAATGAGAGCATAGTGGGAACAAACACAAGGGGGTGAGATTACAACGTGTCGCCGCCAGCCTCACGTGACGAGCGCGCGTCTCCACAAAATGGTAGGTGGCAACGACAACACCCACCACCACACGTGACCCTATTAACACATGTCCCTGTGTCAGTAATATATAGACTCCTATAGTTATAGTTCTACGGACCAGTTATTCTGCGAACCTTCAGGTGCTCTTTGTTTTTAATATTCATTCATCTATTCGTCCAGGTAGAGCGTGAGAGTCAGGAAAAGATGCAAGATGGAAAACTTATGTACCTTAACCTGCTTGGTTAAGGTACAAACTTCATGATTCAGTCACTCTATGGAACTTACTGACGCAAAATCGATACAAATTTAATAAATACTGACAAAGCAAACCTATGCTGTAACTAGACCTATAAAGAGCTGAACCAACTAATCCTTATAAAGCTAACCAAAACAACCTCAAAAAACGAACATAACTAAATCTAACTCTGCTGATCCTAAGTCCACCTCATGAAACTGAACCAATCCTGACCAAGTGATCATAATTTGACAGTAAAATTTTATAAGATGAGGAAACGGTAAAAGCAGTCCGTGCCTCGGGTCTTAGTGGTGAGCGTGTACGTCGAGGACTTATGTTCCTCTGTCAGTTGTGTGGCGACTATAGTCGTATCAGGGTGGGGGGAGGCAGTTGCACCCCCACCCACCCATCACTTTATGAGGCCCTGTTGCCGTCATACCCACCACGGACCGCAGCGCTCGTCCGGCCATACCGTGAGTGCTCAAAGGGTTAAAGTGGTGGGGGGAGGAGGGGACACAGGTGCCGATTACTTTATTCTTCAACACCTCGACTGGAAGTTATGCTGGGTAGTATTTTCTATTTTCTCTGTCTATGTATGATGAGTGGGTGATGCTGAAGGCAGTGATGGTATATGATATAAGTTAAGTTTGGCAGAAGAGTGGAAAATGGGTGACTTCAACAAGGACGGGGTTTATGAGTCGCTGTCATTGGTGAAGGTAAAATGGTCAGCCACGTATTGTGGTAAGGCGGGTGACGGGGGTGTGTGGCGGTGAAGACACCTCCTCCCCGACCCCACTACCTGCTGCTGCTACTGTTGCCACCACAGCTGGGGAGAACACAAGGGGCAGGGTGGACTGTAACGGGGAGGGGACGATGGAGGCGTGGCTAACGGAGGGACGAACAAATCCTTAATTTATTCCTTCTCTTAATGATAATTGATTTAAGATAATTAATGCTATACTGCCGCTCATTACGGGCCGTAGATTCATGCCTCGTTTCAATAAGAAGTGACTAGTAGTGGATAGTATTGCTATTTTTGTGGAATTTAACGATTGATAATAATAATAATAAATACTCGCTAATACAGACAGCCACTCATTAATTTGTCCATGAGAATCAAGCCATGATGTTTAATGGCAAATAAATAATACAAACTAATCATGAATGAGGTAAACACTGTTATAATATTCACCCAAAAGCAGAAATATCTACGGTTTATTTACCATCGCAAGTAAACATCCTGCGGGGTGTGTTGAGCGCCACCACCAGCCAGGCTCCGCCCCGCCCTGTCTCAGTTCCCGCCCCCGCTGTTCACTCCACCTTCCCTTGTACGTTTTATGTTCCTCTGTTTCTTTCTACGTTTGTACATTTTGCTATTCGTTTGCTTGTTTAATTTCTCAGAAGGCCAAGATATATTTTTCATGAAATTGAAATAACCTTCTCCACCACACGAAAAGCACGAAAGCAGTAGATGCTTGCGTAGGAATTATTTATCTTTCTAGACAAGACTAACTTGCAGGAGAGGCCACGCTCTCAACTACCTTGACAGAGTTACATAAGAGGCTAGCTCGTGTGCCTACGCGGGCCACTACAATGACTAACTACATCCTTGATGTAGTCACGTGTCTGTCTACACACGTATAGCGACGTTATTTCAGTGCTGTTACTGTGTTTACTTGTGTTCTTGCATTGTAATACACCTCTGCACTTATAAATATAATGGGTTCTATCGCAGCAACAATTTTAATCATGATATTAGCATTATTACAGTTTTCATTATATGTCCTAAAATTGATAGTTTACTTATATAATTGATAGTTTTATTAACCACATGACTAATAATATTAATTACAGGAGTTATAGTAACTGCATTTTTACAACTGACATTAAAATATAATTGCACTTCGAGGGCAGTTAGTATACTGTATATAAATTAATGGCCAAATTTTTTCGGTGATTCGAATTAATTTCTTGAGTTAAAACCGTAATTGTGATGCTTTAACTCGAAGTAAATGAGGTGGTGTTATCGTGTCCCTGAATTATAAGATAAAGCTTTTGTTTTATTTTACAGGTGTCTCCGCAAGGTGGATAGCCCACCTGCTGTTAACCTCCTCCTCTATTTCCCACTTCTGAACTTTACCTTGTACTGTACCCTTCTTGCACTCTCAGGGCTAGTGCTCTCTTCTCTCTGTATAACCAACCAACCAACCTATACAGGTGATGTAACATTCAGCACATTCCTTCAATACAAATTCTATATTCAATAATGGCCTAGTGTCATGTTATCGAGGTAGAACGGCGTTTATAGTGACTTGTTGATTTATTTCTGCAATGTAATGTCATGCAAAAGACATTGTGGATTATTGATTAGAATCGACGTCCTATTTACTATTACTGAAATGTGTGTACTTGTTATACGTATAGTATATGCTGAAGCAATGTAAATTTATTTGACGATTTCTCGCTTGATAAATACATGCCTATATTACCCCATTACTGTTGCATTCTAGACAAACCCAACATACCTAGTAGACTCCGCAATCATGCATAAGAGAGATACTATACATTATTATAATTACGTGGATCTGAACTTGGTAATATTCAAAATTAATTTCCCTTTTGAAGTTTAGTTGACCGAGATATGGAGCTGACTGTCTGGTCATTTTGACGTGGTATCCAAAACCTGTTCAAATGTCATGCTTAATTTAGTCTCCCCATTTTTCATATAACATTTGTAAAGGAAATAGTTTGCTTCGGTTTTCACATATGCTGTATTGGCAGGCTTTCGATATTGGTTATGTAGACACTAAGAGCTCCGGGTAGCATACGAAGAAACATCAAAGTTAATCCTCAAAGAAACAAAGAAAACCAGTACAGTCACAGAGAATGAAGGTAGATTTGGGAGGTCACCGGGGACTTATGGGGCACTGTCGGGTGGTGGCGAGAGAGGCAGCGATTCTTCTCCCCAGCAGCACATGTCCCGGGGAGCGACCGTGTCTGCTGGTGGTGGTGATGTTGGTGGCTGGGGACGATAGTGCCAGCCAGCCACCCAGCCAAAAGAAAATGGATGGACGCTCGGAAGGCGGGGACAAGAGCTGTAACAGTGGGATTATCTTGTGACGCATAGATTGGGTAAAACATTTTTTGTTTTTTATAAATACAATTGATTAATTCTAAATTTCAAATATACATATGATTAAGAAGCAGTGATAAAATATTTAATGATTTTCTGTTTTTTGTCTGAATGTGAATATGGTGTCGAATGTCTACACAAATTCATGAAATATAAACGCTGTTTTTTTTATTTAAATATCACCATATGAAAAGGCAATTTAAACATTATTAGCCGGAGTATATCCTGCGGTACACGAGTTGGCATAAGTACCACTGACTCCCATCTAACATAAAGATATAGAGTCAGAAAGAGTTACACTGTACATGTCTGTATCACACCTTG